ACGAGTCGCGACCGGTTTTTTTTTTTTTAAACTTTTGTGTGAGAGTAGGTGCAAGTCTGCGTGTATGTACACTCATCTGTGAGTGCGTGTACACACGGAAGGGTGTATAATAATATATATATATATATATATATATATATATATATAATATATATATATATATATATATATATATATATATATATATATATATATATATATATATATATCGTGCCGAATATGCAAAACTGGTCAAATAGCAAGAACTCATTTAAAATTAAGTCCTTTCTAAAATTTTCTCTTATACGTTTAAAGATATATTTTTTTTCATTAATGTTAATGTAAAAATTTTAAATTTTGCTCCAAAAGAATCTTAGAAAACTTACCTAACCTTGTTATAACAAGTGCAATTTATTTTAGCCTAACCCAACTGAATATATTTTAGATTTGTTTACAATAATTTAATACTAAACAAACACTGTGAAATATATTTTTTTCGTTAGGTTCAGAATTATTTTTTGCGAAATTATTGCATACACATTTTCGCTTGTCCTATATGGCAAGATGAGCTTTGCTATTTAAGCCAAGATCGCAAGTTCTGCCTATTCGGCAAGACATATATATATACATATATGTATACATATATATACTGATGGAATCAAGTATATGTCGTGCCGAATAGGTGAGACTTGCTATTTTTTTCTTAAATAGGAACGCTCTTCTTTCCGAATAGGGCAATAATTTCGCAAAAAATCATTCTGAACCTAACTAAAAAATATATTTTATTGTTTTTGTTTATTAAATTATTGTTTATTTTTAAAATTTCGCTTGCCTTATTCGGCAAGAAGAGCGTTGCTATTTAAGCCAGAATCGCAAGTTTTACCTATTCAGCACGACATATATATACTGATAGAATCAAGACAAACGTTAAAATGAATTGGGAATATAATTTTGGAATGGTTGGAGTTTTTTATTTAATAAATGTATACAAGAGGGGAAGGTACCTAGAGATTGGCAAAGCATACATGTATAGTTCCTTAGTATAAAGGTAAAGGGGACAAAAGAGTATAAAAATTATTGGGGAATAAGTTGTTGAGTATACCTTGTAAGGTGTATGGTAGAGTTATTACTGAAAGAATTATGAGTAAGATAGAGAGCATGATCGCAGATGAACAAGGAAGCTTCAGGAAGGGTAAAGGGTGTGTAGACGAAGTATTTACAGGGAAACATACATGTGAACAGTATTTATATTAGGGTAAAGAGTTTTCATTGCATTTATGGATCTGGAAAATGCATATGATAGGGTGGATAGGGGAGCAATATGGCAGATAGGTGGTAAGTTACTGAAATCAGTTAAGAGTTTTTATGAGGACAGTGAGGCTCAGGTTAGTGAGAGAGAGAGAGAGAGAGAGAGAGAGAGAGAGAGAGAGAGAGAGAGAGAGAGAGAGAGAGAGAGAGAGAGAGAGAGAGAGAGAGAGAGAGAGATTATCTTGCAATAAAAGTAGCCTTTAGATACTGATGTGTGATGTCACCATGGTTGTTCAATACATTTATAGATGGGGCTGTAAGAGAAGTGAATGCTCGGGTGTTGGCAAAAGGTGTGGAATTAAGAGAGAAAAGAATTTAACACAAAGTGGTTGTTGTCACAGTTGCATTTTGCTGATGAAACTGTGCTTTTGGGAGATTCTAAGAGAAGTTGCAGAGGTTTGTGAACGAGTTTGGAAGGGTATGCAAAAGAAGAAAATTAACTGAACATAAGACAGAGCAAGGTGATGAGGATAGAATATTTTGGTAATGAAAGATTGATATTCTGCAGGGGAATGAGTATGGAGGAAGTGAATGATTTCAGATATCTGGGAATGGACTTCTTAGTAGATGGGTCTATGAAAGACGAGGTGAATCATAGAAATGATGAGGGGGAAAAGGTGAATGGTGCACCGAGAGTCTGTGCAGACAAAAAGTAATCCACGGAAGCAAAGAGGGGAATGTATGGGAGTATAGTGTTACGGGAATGTATGGGAGTATAGTGCTTCTAACGCTCTTATATGGGTGTGAAGCATGGGTGGCGACTGTTGCAACAAGGAGAAAGCCGGAGGCAGTGGAGATGTCGTGTCTAAGGGTAATGCGAGTTGTGATTATACAGAGAATCCGTAGTTTAGAGATTAAGAGGCTCGGGGTTTCTAAAAGTGCTATCCACAGGGCTGAGGAGTTGTTGAGGTGGTTCGAGCATTTAGAAAGGATGAGACGAAACAGAATGATTTGGAGGGCGTATAAATCTGCAGTAGAAGGAAGGCAGGGTAGTGGTTGTCCTAGGAAAGGCTGGAGGAAAGGGGTAAAGTAGGTTTTGTGTGCGAGGGGCTTAGACTTTCAGTAAGCATGCGTGTGCGTGTTAGACAGCGAGCAGAGAAAGTTTTTATTAAGTGCTGTTCAAGTGTGAAGGTATTAAGGGTAAGTACTTAAGTCCTGGAGGTGGGAAATACAATGACTGCCCTCTGAAGGTGGGGTGGAGATATTTTTTTTTTTAACTAGCGTAGGTGCGCCTCTGGCCAGATAGTGATGAAGCGAGCGATGATGATTTTTTTTTTTTTTTGCATTTTCGGGTCACCCTGCCTTGGTAGGAAACGGCCGATGTGTTAATAATATACTACACACTTTAGTTCTTTAGTTTACGTTAATCCAAATAATCCCATATTTGTGACTGAAGTATTTTTGATTGGCGGTGAACAGGTGACATGTAGCCTTAATGACTCTCGTGAAAAAGCACAGCTTTTATCATCCCATTTCGTTCAAGGAAATAATTTGAGAAAGCTCTACTTAAGCGAAAAGTTGTTATACGAAATGCTTAAGCTGTGTGACGTGTCTACCATCTAGTCCTGTTCAATGATGCCCGGTGTCGCTGCCACGGGAGAGGCTAATAAAATGATGACGATATCCTCATTGAACTATTGAAATCTCTCAACATAAGCTGACAGACTTCACTTGATGTATGACATCCACCGTATGTAACTGAATACGACTGGGGGTAACAGCTAGAAGTACACTGCAGATATATGCAATTTTGTTAAAAAAAAAAAAAAAAAAAAAAACTCATGGCAGTTACTGGTAATTCCCGGTAGCCTCCGTTATTTTTACTCTGTCTTAACTGCCACAGTTAACACATCACACTGCCGATGATTCTTCCAACCTGTGACTTACAGCAGCCAGGGATTTATTGTCTAACCTGTGACCTCAGCCACCAAGGTTTCATGATACTGAAATCTGAGAGCCAGTCATTTAACTTCAGGCAAACGTTTTGGGTTGAATGCTTCCTTCACTTCCCCATCTCGCCCAAACATTCTCGTCGGCTGTTTCATCACTTCCTACTTCGACCTCGTTTAGATCTGGATATTTTTTGCTATTATACTCTTTTTTTTTTTTTCTCCTCCACAAATTTCCATATCCATTCGGAATTTTCAGAAGACGCGATGCGTCTACAAAATAAATGTATGCATTTTCTGTATTTATTTTAGTCTTATTTTAGTAGCATACAACTAAACCACTATACAAAAAGCTAATTTGTTTCTGTCGTTGCGCAATCCGACAGAAGTATCCCCCGTATCCCACAGAACCAATCCTCTGTACCTCAATGCACGCAAAAGGAATAGTACAAAGTGCGGCATGAGTGTCTAATGCGGTTAAATATCAGTCTTGAAAATTGTGAAGCTGATCGGATAAGGCCTTCAAAAGTTCTCGCATGGAAAGTTAACATCCCATTTTCTTCAATAAAGTGACAAATTGGCAACGACACAGACCAAAACTAATTCAAACTTCCCACTAAAATTAAACCAGTTTTTAGTTTAAAGATAATCAGAAGAGTTATCTATTTATAACGAGCGCACTATCCCCATTTGTTTAATAAAATTGTTAAATTAGGACTTGCACAACTGTCAAATTAGAACTTGCACATCTTGAAGCTGCCTTCTCAAAGTATTTCTTAAGAAAATACTCCATAACTTAATAAAATTGGAAAAAAAATGGCACACGGCCCAAAATTTAATCCAAATATTAATTTAATTAAGACACGTTACTGCAAAGAAACCAATTTGTTTACTAAAGTTAGCAGATTAAAACCTACAGTTTTCAATAACATTATGAACCTTCCTTTGTGCAACGCACACCAATGCTGAATTTTTTAAGCAGATCAGAAGAGTTATTCTCCAGTTATCTCAGGGTATCCAACAATTAATTCTGTTAACTGATAGTAATTTGGAAAATTTGCATCTATACCGTCTAAACTTCAATGGTATCATTCTTTCCCTAAGATGAATCAGGCATAAAAAAATGCAATTCATTTCGATAAAGCATACTTAAGTTACTTCAGAAGAGAATACCACACCGTTTTAAGATTAAAATTGCCAAATTTGTACCTAAACACGCTCCAATAACAATCCGAACATCATCAGCAAAATGCATCAGTGCTTAAGTTTTGAAGTCGATCAGAAAAAGTTTTCTCAAGTTATCCCATAGAAACCAAAATCAGGAATAGTCTATAAAATTGACCAAAGGGCACCTGTCTATGCATAACCTTACCCTGGCCACAGTACATCAGCGTTGAAAATTTGAAGACGATCGGATGGATCTTTCTCAAGTTATAAATAAAAACCATAAAGAAAAAAATCAGGCAACCCACCTCAAGATACTTCTTTCGGAAACAATACAATAGATAAAATAACAAAAAATAACTTGTCAATGGTCCGAGTCGGACCGAAACGTCGTCGTAAGCTTCTCTCTTTTATGTGCGGGTTATTTGTGTATCGTTCCAGTCACGGTATTGTGCCTTTTTTGTTATTTATAAATAGAATAACAATAAAATAACTACTTATAATAAAAACTTGTACTTAAAATACTATATACGTGAGTTACTAAGCTCTGGCACACACTATGGAATGCAGAAGGTGGTTAGGCTAGTTTTTGTCGCCGTGTCGTTGTGACGTCTGCTTCAAAGAGGTTTCCTCCTGTGTGAATCCTGCCGAGCTAGTCAGTGTGTTAGCCACAGGGCGCCTGGGATCAATCCTCTTGTGAACTTAGCGAGGATTCACCCTTTTGTAATGGTGGAAATTCAGAGTGGTAGTGCTACTGAAATTTCGTGAACGTTGTGAAAAATTTCGTCGCATTCAACGCTATTTTTACTCTTTTCTTTCTTTGCTAGGTTAGTATTTTATTTTTTTATTAAGTATGAATTATGAGGATGTTCATAAACGGAAATTCTGCAGAGGTCAGAGACATCCAGGTGACTGTATGGCCGGTGGATTAAGCGGGTCTTTAATATATCAAGGTTAGGTTGAAGATGGCCTATATCCCAACTTATGGCAGAACGTTCTATTCACAACTGAAGGGACCCAAGTTGGATTTCCTGGCTGGACAAGTTTATGGACACGGCTCTTTATATGATTTTTATTCGGGATAAGCCGAAGGCTTAATACAAGGAAGCGTATTTCAGCTGAGGCCCTTTGATCCTCTTCCCCAGGATGTGACCCACAACAGTCAGCTAACACATAAGTACCTACTTGCTAGAACACCCAATCTTAGTACTCGTGCTGGGATCGAATCCAGGTTCTTCAGATTAAGACGAAGGCGCTACAACCTGATCCACATCTGTCATCTAGCAGTAAATAATCTGAATTAGTTGACTGTTGTGGACGGTGGTAGTTTGCCTAGGATAGGGCTGGGCTATAAAATGAGCTGAGGTAGAATAATAGCTCGAGACAGTAAAAAAAATAAAGTGGTTTTGCTAAATAGAGTGTCTTCTTAATACAATATTTTATTTTAGTAAGTACTGGCTTAGGCTAATTTCCTTACATATGTTATTTAGGTTAGGATAAATTATAGATGATTAACCGAATTAATTGTAACCAGGGCCGGATGAAGATACTGGGCCTGGAGCAGAATTTTTTATGAGCTGATAGTGCACACTAGAATTCTAAGTAAAAGAAAGAGCATTAACATTTCTTGTGTTAATATAAGGCATTCATACTTACATTGAGAAACGCCTCAAAATGTGTAAAATTTATGTCGGGAATTTTTACGGGCCTAATTTGACGATAAGCCTCTAGGCTTCAGCTCCCCTAGTCTCCGCGTTAATAGAGCCCTGATTATAGCCTATAATAGTGTCAATAAATAATGAGCTGATAAAAAGACTGATCATAAACAAGGTCATGTATGTTTTAGAAAGACACGTAAGCAAACATTATAACATATTTATTAGAAAACGTTTAGGTCCTGGGACCTTGATCACTTCTAACATACAGAGGTAGAAGTGATCAAGGTCCCAGGACCGAAACGTTTTCTAATAAATATGTTATAGTGTTTGCTTACGTGTCTTTCTAAACCAACTTGTCGGTATTTATTACCAAGGTTTATACCAAGGTCATGTATAAACGGTAGAGGCGACTTCGCGGCTCTTCAGTTCAAAGCCTAGGGTCCCGGGTTCGATATTTGAGAGGTGGAAACCGTGAGCATGTTTCCTTATACCTGTTGCCCCTGTTCACCTAACAGTAAACATACCTGGGTGTTGACCTTTCTGGGTAACATCCTAGTGGGCTTGGCTTTAAATTGAGCAGATATAGGGTAATATCCGAGACTAAATTCAACGGTGTAAACAAAAAAAAGTGTTAGGTTGTAAGAATTGTAATAATTTTTTTAAACAAAGTGAGGGAATATGAAGTAACCTGACCTAACATTACACCAAGGAGAACTGATATTGAACTCAGGATACCACAGACTGTGAGCGTTCAGTTCGCAACCGTTAGGTTCCCAGTTCGACTCTCAGGTGCGATAAAACGAACAAGTCGCTTTACACCTGCGCCTGAGGAATGGGATGCAATCGAGTTTAATCCGAGGAATGGGATGATAGCTCCCTTAGGTTGAAGGCTCTCGCCAACACTAAATAGAAAATGGAAAAGGATGGAAACCAAGTAAATGATAAGAAACAATAAGGAAGTAAAGTAGGCCAAGTTTTACTCACCTATTTGTGGTTCCAAGGTTTGATTCTCAGCTCCTGGTCCCGCCTCTTCGCTAGCCGCTACTAGAATGCGAGTGTTGGGAAGTTTTGACGGTAATAAAACTGGTCCCACACTCCACAAAAAGAAGTGAATGTACGCAATGGTGAGACTGCTACTAAGCAGCTTAAAGTAACTGTGTTGAAGATATGAATGACACGAACACTGATGGATATTATGGCCTTTTGCCAGTTATTGTATCAGGAATGTCTCTCTACCCATCTTCACACATCACACGCACTCACTCTCTCTCTCTCTCCATCTTTCTTGCCATCTTCAGAAGTAACTTGCTAGCCATCAGTGTGACTTCGTAAATGATCCAAGTCGGACCGAAATGTCGTCGTCTTCCCTCTACAGAAGACGACGAAGAGTCACTGAGCTCCTCAGGAGTGCTAGAATATCTGATACACGAAAGGAGGCGCTGACCAGGGAAGTGGAAACTATCGAACTTAAGCTAAATGACTTACAGGAACCAGGAGAGGCAGGAGGAGCTTAAAGCTATTAGTGAAATTGAAAGAAATTCAAAATATTTCTTTTCATATGCTAAAACAAGGCAAATACCACATCTAGTATCGGGCCCTTACTCAGACAGGATGGGACTTACACAGATGACAACAAGGAAATGAGTGAAATATTGAAATCCCAGTACGACTCTGTGTTTAGTGAACCACTAATCGGTCTGAGGATCGACGACCCAAATGATTTCTTCATGAATGAGCCTCAAAACTCCATAAATGTATGCCAGATTTCCGACATTACCCTAACTCCGATAGATTTCGAAAAAGCCCTTGACAACATGCCTATGCACTCAGCCCCGGGCCCAGACTCGTGGAACTCTGTTTTCATTAAGAACTGCAAGAAACCCCTCTCGCGTGCCATAAGTACACTATGGAGGAGGAGCTTGGACATGGGTGAAATTCCACAGTCACTTAAAACAACGGATATAGCCCCACTCCATAAAGGTGACAGCAAAGCATTAGCTAAGAACTATAGACCAATAGCTCTGACGTCCCACATCATAAAAATCTTTGAAAGAGTGCTAAGAAGCAGGATTGCAAATCACCTGGATTCCCAAAATCTGCACAATCCAGGGCAACATGGGTTCAGGGCAGGTCGCTCCTGCCTCTCACAACTACTGGATCACTATGACATGGCCTTGGATGCACTGGAAGAAAATCAGAATGCAGATGTAATATACACAGACTTTGCAAAAGCATTTGACAAATGCGATCATGGCGTAATAGCCCATAAAATACGTTCTAAAGGAATAACTGGGAAAGTGGGGAGATGGATCTTCAACTTCCTAACAAATCGAACACAAAGAGTAGTGGTCAACAGAGTTAAATCGGAGGCTGCCATAGTGAAGAGCTCTGTTCCACAAGGCACAGTACTCGCCCCCATCTTATTCCTTATCCTCATATCAGACATAAACAGAGATGTACACCACAGCACCGTATCATCCTTTGCGGATGATACAAGGATCTGCATGAGGCTGTCGTCTGCTGAGGACGCGGTTAACCTCCAAGAAGATATAAACAAAGTTTTCCAGTGGGCAACGGTAAACAATATGATGTTCAATGAGGACAAATTCCAACTACTCCGTTATGGAAAACTGGAGGAGATAATAACTAGAACAGAGTATACTACTGACTCCGGCCATACAATAGAACGGAAAAATAATGTAAGGGACCTGGGAGTAGTAATGTCTGAGGATCTCAGTTTCAAGGATCACAACAGTGCCACGATTGCACGTGCAAAGAAAATGATAGGATGGATAATGAGAACTTTCAAAACGAGAGATGCCAAGCCCATGATGATCCTTTTCAAATCACTTGTTCTCTCTAGGCTGGAATACTGCTGTACATTAACATCTCCATTCAAAGCAGGTGAAATCGCAGATCTAGAGAGTGTACAGAGATCCTTTACTGCACGTATAAGTTCTGTCAAGCACCTTAACTACTGGGAACGCTTGGAAGCACTTGACTTGTACTCGTTGGAACGCAGGAGGGAGAGATATATCATAATCTACACTTGGAAAATCTTGGAAGGAATGGTCCCAAATCTACACACAAATCACTCCCTACGAAAGTAAAAGACTGGGCAGGCGATGCAAAATGCCCCAATAAAAAGTAGGGGCGCCATTGGTACACTAAGGGAAACCACCATAAGTGTCCGGGGCCCAAAACTGTTCAACAGCCTCCCATCAAGCATTAGGGGAATTGCCAATAAACCCCTGGCTGCCTTCAAGAGAGATCTGGACAGATACCTAAAGTCAGTGCCGGATCAGCCGGGCTGTGGCTCGTACGTTGGACTGCGTGCGGCCAGCAGTAACAGCCTAGTTGATCAGGCCCTGATCCATCGGGAGGCCTGGTCATGGACCGGGCCGCGGGGGCGTTGATCCCCGGAATAACCTCCAGGTAACCTCCAGGTATGTACGGGTTATTTGTGTAGAGCCATCTTCAGACGTCACTCTCTAGCCATCTTCAGAGGTCAAACACTAGCCATCTTCAGAGGTCAAACACTAGCCATCTTCAGAGGTCAAACACTAGCCATCTTCAGAGGTCAAACACTAGCCATCTTCAGAAGTCAAACAGCGCTGTAAAAGGTTTAATCCTAATATACGAGGCAAACGCGCCTGGTTTAGCGAGATGGTATTCGATAAAGAATTCACAAAAACAATTCTGAGACATACAACATAGTACCCGATAGCACTTTCTTAATGCTACGCTTGCCCAAACTATCCTTCTAGCCTGGGTTCGGTTATTCTAGTTTAGCTGATGGTATTTTGAATCAGGAGAAACGGTAAAAAAGTTTCCTGACTCAGATCTTAAGGAAAAAACTAAGACGTGATGCTTGTCTCTACATCACGTTAAAAGCAATGGAAAACATTTTTACGTCTCACGCTGAAATTTAAGTTTAGTTGAGGCTTGGTTATATTAGACGGCTCTGCATGAACCTCTGATACAAACATTACCAAAAATACGTAAACCTGTTCTTAGGAGACAGGAGTCGGTTCCAGATTCTTCCCTTTATAATACAATGATCTTTGGCCTTTGTAGTACTGATGCCATTGTTTGTAATTATTGCCAACTCTAAATATTATAAAAATGCTAATAATAATAAAAGTTAAGAAAATAATGAACTGAAGCGA